TCCCACTAGCCTGGGGGCGATGGTTAGGGGACTTGGGAAGTCCTAGAGGATTTGACATCAGCCCCTAGTTCATAAGGGTGGGTAGCAAGTGGCTGCATACAGAGGAGGCAGACAGGCATTTTGCTCATTTGTGCTCCTATGCCTTTTCACACACTGTTAATTTTGCCTGGGACACCTCTGCCCACTTTATATGCCTGGCTGCCAGCAGCACCTGGCTAGTGGCTTGTTTCTCTGGAAAGTCTTTCCCATTACCCACTCTGTCTCTTGCTCGTGCTGAACAGTTGCTGGTATCTTGGCTTCCAGAGCACCATTTTATCCTTTGTTAATTGTTGTATAACCCTTTGTATACTAATCTTCCTTCTTTGACTTGGGGGTCTTCATCTGTGTGTCCCCTAAAGTCTAGCACACACACACGCACAGTACTCATTTGTTGAATGAATAACATATTGTCCGAATCCAATCCTGCATTGGACCACTTTCTTAGAAGTAGATCCTCAGAACAGGGAGGTGTGGTCCTCTGTCCTTAGTGTTGGTCACATTTCACTGGGGACCAGTGATACATCAGCAAAAGGGACTTTGAAAAGCTGGCATGTCAAGAGCTGAACTACCAGTGCAGGAAACGGACTGTGCAGGTGTCTTATAAGAAACTCTTGAGGTACTGAGTATGACTTAGTTTGGGAAGAGCAGATATAATGTGGGGCATGGAGGCATCTACAGCTACTTGACATGTGGGAGGAAATGTTATCTCATTTTTTTGTACTTTGGACTTATTCTAGAATATAGGTTGCTTCCTAGATTTGCTACTCCCTCCAGATGTGCAAGTTGCTTCCAGGGGACCAACCCACCTGGTGTTCAGCCTCCTCCTTCTGTCAATGATTGGCTCCTTTCCTCTTCTAAGTAGTTGTGAAAATGCTAGAAAGATGTGAAAGACCTAGAGAAAGTGTTAAAGGGACTGAGTGTGGTTCCTTCATGGATCCCGAATGTACTTTCTACTCTGGCTATTGCCACCCTGCCATCTTTCCCAGTTCTTTGTCCTTAGAGGAAGGTGATCCATCCCACCCAGCACCCAGCCTTGTACCTGATGGGGAGGCCTCAAGGGAGGTCTTTTCACAGTGGCTCCAGACGCAGCTCTTTTGCCCTTTCTTGTCCAGTCCAGATTCCTATCTGAGAACCTGTTGCTATAGAAACCACCCGAAAAGCAGGACATTGGCCCATGGTGTAGGGCCAGACCTTTCTCAGAGATAGCTTTGGGTTTTCTATTATTTTATTTTGATTTTCTGCCTTTTTTTTTTTTCTGGTGGAGAAACACGGCTCACATCCCTCACTGCTTTATTCTTCATGGGGCTGTCTTATCCCTTACGTGAATTTTAACATTACATTTCTCCAGCAGGAACCATGGGTCATTTTTAACTGGCTGGCTTTGAACAAGCCCTGGAATCTGTGAGGATAAACAGGAGCCGGCGAGGCTGGGCTGGCTTTGTTTGATTTAAATTTGGAAACCCAGGAGTCAGAGGCATGCTTTATATAGCCTGGAGGGTGCGGGAGCTCTGGGTCCTGATTTATGAGGCAGCTCAGTGAAAACACATGAAAGCCGAGGTAATATTTATAAATTCTTTCCCCCACAGATGGATGGAATGTTCTTTGGCATTGCAGTCAGATAGTACCTTTTTGGGGGGTAAGGGGAGGTTGTGTAAATCTAATTATTCAGTGACTGAAAGGAAAGGGAAATGTTAGCTGGGCAAATGCCTCCAAGTCTGCAACAGAAGAACACAGAGTGAGAAGGAAGTTAGAGATCCAGGCCAGTCCTCTCTTACATCCTGCACATTTGTGACTATTTGGTGGGGTCTTCTTGTTGCTGCTCCAAACCCCCAGGCCTCTCCACCCTTACCTTATTATAAAAGCAACAACATTTCACACAGGGAACATTTTGTCTTGGTGGGACAGGTGCCTTGGAGGTTCCGTCCAGGGAAGAGGGGAAGAAGGGAAAAGATGATAAAGCATGGGTTGGCAGGGGCAGGTTGGACGATGAAGGCAGGCACAGTGTGCCCCAGGTAGCCCTGGATCCGGAGGCTGTTGTGTGATGGGCTGCACTTCTGTGAGTTAACTGAGTCAGGGTGGCTTGTGCCAGCTCCAGTGAGGGACTCACACATAATCGGTGGGTTTGGGGCCCACCAGCCAGGGGCAGGGGATGCCTGCAGGACACTGCTACCCTCACAGAGGGGCATAGTCAGAGCACATCAGCACAACTGCTTCTCCCTCTGTGACCAGCATTCCCCGCGTAGAGCCCAGCAGGTTGGAAGAGAGGTTGAGATTTGCAACTGATCACTCCTGGTGGTCCTGCTTCTCTGTAAAGATTCCTTAAAAATTGTGTCCAGGAGCATAAGTGCCAAGGGGAGGAATGGGATTCATTATTCCACTTTGCTGTGAAGCAGCTCACTTCGACCTCCCTGCCTCCTAGCTCCTGTCTTTAGCAAGAAGCGTCTGATCTTTTACTTCTCTGCTTCTGAGGGTCCCTGCTTTGGGGAGGGGAAGGGGCGCATCAGCTCTGAGACTGAATGGGGCCTTTGCATCTCACCTGCTTGTTTCTGCCCAGTGCAGAGAGGCTCTGGGCACGCAAGGTTCAGGAGTGGTGTGTGGGATCACACAAAGAAGATCTGCTCTGGCTGGATTGCCAGGAGGCGGGGAGAAAAACCAAAATGTATCTCTATCCCCTTTTAACCAAAGCACAAGCAGCATGGGCAGGACCCTGTATTTGCAAGAGCTTTGTTAAGTCTGTGACTTGAAAGACTGGGATTAAATGTCAAGCCTCCAGGGGGGCCGGTGCTGTGGCCTGAAGTGCTGGCATCCCATATGGGTACCAGTTTGAGACCCAGTTGATCCACTTCCTGTCCAGCTCTCTGCTGTGGCCTGGGAAAGCAGTAGAAGATGGCCTAAGTCCTTGGGCCCCTGCACCCATGTGGGAGACCCAGAGGAAGCTCCTGGCTCCTGGCCTCGGAGTGGCGCAGCTCCGGCCATTGCGGCCAATTGGGGAGTGAACCATAGGATGGAAGACACCTCTCTCTCTCTCTCTCTCTCTCTCTCTCTCTCTGCCTCTCCTCTCTCTGTGTAACTCTTTCAAGTAAAATAAATAAATCTTTAAAAAAAAAAAGTCAAGCCTCCAGCCCGGTTCTCTACAGTGACTATAACAAACTCGTTGAGAAGGAAGACCTCTGTCTGTCTTCTTACTGCAGAATTTAGGAGACACCCTGCCAAAAATGCTAGGATCTGAGCTGCATTTATCCCTGGGAGGTGACGTCATGCTCCTTTTGCCAGGTGGTACTGTAATTTACATTGGAGCCCCTGTGTTGGCTCTTCTGCTCCCAGCCCTTCTCTTCTCTCTGGGGGAACTGCTATCCAATGACTGCCCAATACTCTGTCCTAATACGTACAGGGACCACTCCAAGATTTCTACCCAAAGGTGTTCAACCATCCTTGATTTTGGATGATGGCTGCAGGTTAGCTCAGCATGTGGAATCTGAAAGTCCCTGCTGTCTGATGCACAGTTCTCTCTTCTGTCCCCCAGCCAGGAGGATCTAAAATTACACTTGTGCTGGGGCCAGGTCTTACCTGAGATCCCACCAGCCAGTGTCTCCCCAAGATAACATACGAGAGCTGGCTGCTGTTTCCTCTCCATGCTTGTCTTGTTCCCTGGGCTTTTAGTGCTGCCAAGCCTTATAGGGGCTGGACAGAATCCTTAATGGTGGTATTAATGGTAACTGTCATTTATTAAGCACCTACTGCATGCCAGCTAGGTTAAGAATATTGTTGCTAATTCTGGCCAGTTCTGGGGAGAGGCCCTGTGATAATCACTGCATGAGGGGCAGTGTTGTAGAGCTGCAATTGAATCACAGCTTCCCATGTACGCACTAGTGGTGGGACACTGAGCTGGTTTCTTAAATTCTCTGTGTCTCAGCTTCCTCATTGTGAGAGGAGGAAGGGAGTAACAGTAGCCGCACCCAGGAAGGACAGTGTGAGGGTTGTGAAAGGTGAGGACTGGAATCCCAGGCTGGCTGGCTCCAGAGCCCTTGTCCTTGGTTTATAAATGAGGAAGTATGATGGTAGGGGTTGGGGCTGGGGTGCCATGGAGAAAAGATTTATCCAGCATTGGTCATCTCTGATGAAACCCAATCTGATGTCTACCTTACAAAATATGACTTCCCTTTAGCACTAAAATGAGCTCTGACAAGGCCTCTGACCTTTGGGCATGACCAGTACTAAAGCAGGACTAACAGTTTCTGAGTAATTTTTGCACCATGTGTGCTGGACCTTCAGTTAGCATCCAAACCCTCATGCATCCAACCATCATGGGCACGTCATACCACCAGTAGGAACGAAAGCGATCACCAGAGCTCTTTCTCAACTGTAGCCATGCAGGTCTTCCAGGAGCTCCACGTGGATTTTTAGCCACTCTTTGCTACCAAAGCATTTATTTATTTGTTTATTTATTTGACAGGCAGAGAGGACAGTGAGAGAGAGAGACAGAGAGAGAGAAAGGTCTTCCTTTTTCTGTTGGTTCACCCTCCAATGGCCGCCGCGCTGCGGCCGGCACACCGCGCTGATCCGATGGCAGGAGCCAGGTACTTATCCTTGTCTCCCATGGGGTGCAGGGCCCAAACACTTGGGCCATCCTCCACTGCACTCCCGGGCCACAGCAGAGAGCTGGCCTGGAAGAGGGGCAACCGGGACAGAATCCAGCGCCCTGACCGGGACTAGAACCCGGTGTGCCGGTGCCGCAAGGTGGAGGATTAGCCTAGTGAGCTGTGGTGCCGGCTGCATTTATTTTATTGAAAGTAAATATTCAACATTTACCTTATCCACACTTCTTTCTTTTTATTATACCCATCAGTACAGGAATTCATTGCATTTTCAAAAAAATAACAATGGAGATTGCTGCCCAGTTTAACCCCAGAATTAACACAGATCATTCCAGTTGGAACCAGAAAAAAAAAGGAAGCAAAATAGAACATAAATGTCTTGTTTATTCCCCTGCAGCTTCCCGCTCCCTTTCATTCCCTCCTTCCAGATGAATGTGAACATGTTACAACTGACCCCGGTTTTACTCCCAGCCTCAGCAGATGAGTCACAGTGATTCAGTGAAGACAGAGTGGAGCCAGCGAGTGCCGTGTGGAAGGAAAGTGGTGTTTTCCGGGAGGTCTTACTGCAGTTGTCAAAGTCTCCATCACATCTCTCCCTCCATGTCCAAGATGTCTCCCAACCCTCCCAAATCCGACAGCAGGTAAAGTCTTCAGTCCTCGGGGCTCCAGGAACTTGGGAATGACCCCAGGGCTACAGTGGTCCTGGTGCTGGGTGCCTGTAGGAATCCTGCCCAGGGAACTCAAAGATGTCACCTGTGCCCATCCTGGCAGATGGAAGACTCAACACAACCTTCACCATCCTTTGGGCCATCCTCCAGCAGAGTAAAGCCTGTATTGCTTCTACTCCCGAGCGATGGCGATGGGAGGATTTCCTGGTGTGCTGGGCTTGAAGATGTTCTGTATCATCCTGGAGGAGCAGGTAGAAGGTCAGCAGAAAGGAGGGGATGCAGAATGGTGAACTGAATCGACTTTGCCTGAGAAGCAAACAGGAAGCTGGAGGAGAGGAGGAACAAGCAGGAGTCTGAGGTTCTTGCTGCAGGGAGAGGTGGCCCCTGAGCAATGGGGCCTTATTTGGACACCAGCATGCGGACAAACTCTTCATAGTTCACCTGTCCATCTCCATCTGTGTTTGCTGACCGGATCATCTCGTCCACTTTCTCATCACTCAGCTTTTCCCCGAGCCTGGTCATCACATGTCTCAGTTCAGCGGCACTGACATAGCCATTGCCATCTTTGTCAAACATGCAGAAGGCATCCCGGATCTCCTCCTCATTGTCCGTGTCCTTCATCTTCCTGTCCATCATGCCCAGGAATGCAGGGAAGTCCACTGTCGATCTCTCTCACCATGTCCTGGAGCTCTGCCTCGGTGGGGTTCTGGCCCAGGGAGCGCATGACAGTGCCCAGCTCCTGGGTGGTTATGCTGCCATCTCCATCCTTGTCAAAGAGGGAGAAAGCCTCTTTGAATGTGGCCACTTGCTCCTCGGTCAGCTGGTCAACCATGCTGGCAGGGTATGTGGGTAATGTGGCTGGAGTGGCTGGGCTGGTCTCTGCTGGGCTCCTCGGTGCTGAAAGGACAGGAGGAGATCCCAAGAGGTGCTGGCTGCCTGGCTTTCTAGCCCCAGCTTGAATCGCTGAAATTTAAGAAGGAGCAGGGTCCTCCCAATCCGGTGGCTTTGCAGGATTGGGCTGCCATTCACAGATACTCACGCCCCTGTGGTTGCCTGAAGGCTGGGTCCTGTTCAGACAGGAAGCCAGGAGCAGGAGCCAGGCTGGCTTGCTAATTGAGCTGACGCCAAGCCCTCTCTGTGAAACTCAGTCAGCTTTCCACTGTGGCACAAGCATGGCCAGCAAGAGCCACCTGTGATGATACTCTCAATCCTGCTGTTTAGGGAAATTAAAAACTCCTTGAATTTTCCCTTTCCCCTTCAATGCTCCAATATTCTACCTGCCCCCAATCTCCCAGTCTTCATTCAAACAATACCAGCCCACATCCTTTCTTCCCTTCAGCTGAGGTTTTTTGCAGAATGAGAAGCAGAAGTTGTTTTTCCCCATTTTTGGTTTCCAGAGCCTCAGAAGGTTTTCAGAGCAGGAGAAAGGTTTCTTATTCCTTCAGGTAGAAACAGAGTGTTTTCTTACCTCCAGAACAGACATGAATGAGCTCTCAGAGACTGCTGGAGCAGAGGTTCTTGTCCCATGTAAGAAAAGAATTTCAAATGTGAGACAGATTGGCTGTAAGAAAGCTAGCCAAGTATAATGAAATGGTGCAGCTGACAGGCCAGGTGGGCAACTCAGCAAGGCACTGAGTGCCCAGGCTGCATTTAAAGTGGGGTTTATACGGGTATAGGGCCCACTTTCTCCCACTGTTTCTCCTTCTTCTTCCCTCTTGTTTTGGGATACCACTGGACAAATGTGTGGTCAAAGTGAAATTTATGGAACTCCTGAGGTTTTATTATGCAGTGTTATGGGATCGAATAGCTCCCTTGGCTCTGGGCTGGGGTATCTCTAGGAGCAGGAACCCCTCTGCCAGGTTAGCAGACTTGGGCAAGACTTTCAATGTGTAAATACCAGGCTGCTTCCAAGGCATGCTCCTTGTGTTTTTCTCTCCAGCCTCTTTCACACTGTGTGAATGTCTGCATTCCTACCTAACAGGTGGGAGAAGGACTTTCTCCATTCCATTCACTCACTCATTCATGAGTATGTATTGAGTGCCTACTGTATACAGGTGCTAGTCTGGAAGCTGGGAACAGAGGACAGGGCAGATCTCCTTCAATCCTCATAAAGTTCGTAGTCCATTGAAAGTAAACTAACAGAGAAGCTTGAATAAGGTCCTTAAAGATTTTTGATAAATACTATAAAGGAAACAAAAGGTGGTAATGGAGAGCACAACACTGGCTGAGATGGCCTCTCTGAAGAGAGGGTGACCTTGGGGTGAGGAGAGGGATACCGAGGCAGAGAAACAGACAAATGACCAGTGAGGCAAGAAAGGAAGAGAAGGAAGGAGGTGAAAGAAGAAGGAGAGGCAGAGGAGACCTCAGGGCTCCATGAGGAATTTTCATTGTTTTCTCTGATCCATGGGCATCCTAGAAGCTTTCAGTAAAGGGCTTGTCTGCCCCCTGGGTGGTGTTGGAGCCAGAGCTGAAGACAGGGGCATCTCCGATAGGAGACACAGAGGGGAAGGACTCGTGGCTGGTCACCAGGCATGTGAACTCAGCTCCTTGTCTCCCAGAAGTCTGTGAAACTGACCTCTCTGGAGGCAGAAGTTGCTTTGCCTGTGGGACTCCAAGAGAAACCAGAGTAAAATGAGGAGCTGAACTTTCGTTCATTTTGTTGCTGGGTATGTCGGGGCTAGGGGCTGGGGTCCTGGATGGGAAAGAACTTGCATTTATATGAACATAGAATTAGTGAGGAAAGAATACGGCAGGATTATAGCTGGAGAGATGAATTCACTTCCTCTCTGAATTTCCCCCTTTCTCCATTCAAGTAGACAGAAGAAACTTCACTTCCTTGCCTGGAAGGGGTTTGTAGTAGGGAAGAAAATTATTTGCAGGGGAGGATCTACTTGCAAGATAATTTCCTTCCTGCTGGGGGTTCCCACAAAGCCTAAGTGAGGGTGTGGACAGGAGGAAGAGAGGAGTTTTGCCTGAAAAGGAATAGGAGGGTTGAAAGATTCCCTGAACTGTCTTTGAATCTTTGCCTGAAGAAGAGAGGCTTATGGATCCCAGAGTAGCAGGACTCCAGGCCAGGGAGTCCCCGGGCAGCCTTGGGAAAGGGTTCTGGGACCAGGAGGTACACGGAAGAAAAAGACAGTGATGGGTACCTGAGAGCCATTTGTGTGGATGACACCTCAGTGACCAGAGCTCACCCTTTCCTGCTTCCATCTTGTTCACGACTTCAAATTCTGACAGATGTGGGGATGGGGTGGAAGGAGTACAGACCAGGAGTCCCTGAGGATTAGTTTTATTTCTGTACTTCTACAGCATTGTACATTGGTTGAAAGATAACCTTGAGATATTATTTCTGCTGGTAGGCTGAAGCTGTCCCTCTACACAACTTATAGCTCTGCTCATGATGGGGCTTTGGATAAATGCATGGTTTTGCCCCTAGTAGTTCTATTACTCATAAAATATTCTGAGGAGGTTCTTTTTTTTTTTAGATTTATTTTATTTATTTGAAATACAGAGTTACAGACAGAGGTAGAGACAGAGAAAGAAGTCTTCCATCCACTGGTTCACCCCCAAGATGGCCACAACGGCCGAAGCTGCGCCAATCCAAAGCCAGGAGCCAGGAGTTTCCTCCGGGTCTCCCACGTGGATGCAGGGGCGCAATAACTTGGGCCATCCTCTACTGCTTTCCCAGGCCACAGCAGAGAGCTGGATCGGAAGAGGAGCAGCCGGGACTAGAACCGGTGCCCATATGGGATGCCGGCACTGCAGGCCAGGGCTTTAACCCACTGTGCCACAGTGCCAGCCCCTGGAGAGGTTTTTATAACTCTTTTGCAGTAGGGAAAACTGGGCAAAGATTGCACATGTGGCTTTCCCAAGGTCACCTAGTAAAATGTTTAGCTAGGAATGAAGGACTGTTTTTTTCCCTTTGTTTTGTTTTACTGATTTATTTTGGCTAATGTTAGGACACAGGGAATCTCTATCATCTACTGAAAGGGATTCTTGGGGGCTGGAGCTGGGGGCATAGTCTGTTAAACCTCCACCTGTGGTGCCACCATCCCATATGGCACTGGTTCATGTCTGGGTTGCTCCTCTTCCAATCCAGCTCTCTGCTTATGGCCTGGAAAAGTAATGGAAGATGGCCCTAATGCTTGGGCCCCTGCATTCATGTGGGAGACCCAGAAGAAGCTTATGGCTTTTGGCTTTGGATCAGACCAGCTCCAGCCATTGTGTTTATTTGGGGAGTGAGCTAGCAGATGGAAAACCTCTCTATCTCTACCTCTCTCTGTCTGTAACTCTGCCTCTCAAATAAATATATAAATCTTTAAAAAAAAATGGGGATTCTTGACTGCACAATGGTTCTAGATGCCTAAGCTTTAGAATTCTGATCCCAAAACTTCTTTAAAAATATAAAGTATCTCTGTTCTAAATTACCAACCAAAGGGGATTGATTATAAACACTCTATTAGTTCATTTTCATCTTTACAATTAAGCACCTAATACAGGTGCTTATGGAGGAAGGAAGCTTATTAGGTTTATGATTTTGAAGATTCACAGTCCAGCAATCAGGCAGCTCTCGTGAGTTCAGCCCATGTAGTGAGGCTGGAATATGGCAATGGTCAAGTGTGTGCAGAGGAAGGACTATGTGGCAAGACAGAAGGCAGAGTGGCTAGGCCCTACCCAGCCTTTATAATCAATTCTCTTATGAGAGCTATCTTCCAAAGGCATGCCTCCAGTGACATAAGACATTCCACTAGACCCACTTCCTACCTACTATAACTAGACCAGGTCTCTACCTTAGCACCATCAACCCATGACTTTGGAATTTAACCACTTGCATGAGTTCCAGTCTTATCCAATTTGAATAATATAAATATCTTTCATCCATGATATGAAATAATATGCAGCCTATAAATGAGGACATAGAGATAGAAGAGTGTTCATCATGAATTTTTAAAAATCAGGGTATAAAACTGTATGATTTTGTTTATTAATATTTTACATTATGTATAAATGTATTATATAACATTTTATACATGTATTTATTTGTATATTTTCATAGAAGAAGCACCTGGATAATCATGGGCTAAACTCTTAATAGAGAATACTTTGGGCAATACAATCATCAATGCTTTTAATTTTCTTATAATATCTTTGTGCATTAAAGTATTTTGTTTTAACTATGTCTTATTTTTAATATTAGGATAAATAAAAAAATGATTCAAAAACCACGCTCAATAAAATATGCTCTATAGTTTACTGAACCCCCACTATTTTTCCCCTTTCTCTGAAGTTAACAAGTATGCAGAGATCCTGGTAATATGGCCAGCTTTTAGTCCCTCTAGGATCTGAAACTACTGTGAGCACAGTTATGATTATGTATAGAAAAGCTGATAATTAATAGCCAATTGTTTTCCCTCCATTTGGCTGCCAGCACAGCAATGTAGTGGGAAAAAAGACTACTAAGCATTTCTTTCTTCCCCTACACTGGCTGCCAGAGAGGTGTGTCCATGAAATGATACAAGGCGGGTGATCACCACAGTCTCCTGGGGAGCCAGGCTTGGCATCCCTGGACAACCTATGACTGAGATAGCCTATGAAGGACAAGGGCTTAAGACCAGACAGGAATACAGACATTTCTCATACCTACAACTAGATAGAAGTCAACAAGTAACTGCCAGTGTTTGGATCATGGCTTTGTGGCTCAAATCTCCAACCATTGTCTACATACGTTTTTCAAAAAAGCACGTAAGTAAGGATTTTTAAAAGCCTTACTTAATACACTATGACTCACAGAACAGTGTCTTGTGATGGGCCAAACTGTTGCAATTTACCAGTTGGGAAACCGTGGCAAAGGGATGTTTCTCTTTCATGCAGCCTCTTGCCCCATACACTAACTTCTTTCCCTACAGAATATCTATTTTTTTAAATCTTGGGAGCTGTTTAACTACTTAGGAATTACTGCGGACACCAACCAACTTGTGTCTATGTGGGATATACAAAGGGTGTGATTCATGGAAAATGTGTATGATGAAAGAACAATCCAAGGATTTAAAAATAATTTTTCACAAAATAAACTTTTAATCTCATTTCCATGAATTTTTTATTCTCATGTATATGAATGTTCCCTGTGTTTAAAATTGATACAGAAAAAGTTTTAAATGTTTACTTGTATTTCATATATATGTAGCTTAAAAAATAGGAATACAGCTCTGTTACTTGTTAACATAAATATTTTTATGAAAAACTTACCTTACTTGCCTAGATAAAGAGTGGAGAGAAGAGTGGCATTAACAAAATGGTTTGGCAAATCTCTTTCACGTTGGGCCTTGAAGAAGCACACCTGCATCTGGATTCAATCTGGCAAAATGTTGTTTTGAAGGCTATGATTATCCAGCTTCACACAGATCTACAGTTGAGAAAGGAGGAAACATTTAAATGGGTGGCTAATAAAATTGTATACATTCTTTGACTGATAGTTTTCTAAAAATTAGACGCAATGTGGAATTTGAGACCATCTCGATGAATTTTTCATACTGTTACAGGCGTTTGGCCTGGCTGTGTCCCATATTGAAGTGCCCGAGTCTAACTCCTGGCACTGCTCTCAGTTTCAGCTTCCTGCTGGTGTGTACCCGGCAAGGCAGCAGGTGATAGTTCAGGTACTTGGGTCCTTGCCACTCATATGGGTTGAATTCTCAGCTCCTGGCTTTGGGCTGGCCTAGCCCCAGCTGTTGCACACGTTTGGGGAGTGAACCAGGAGATGGGAGATCTCTGTCTGTCTATCTCCCTCTGCCTTTCAAATAAATAAATAAATAAATAATTTAAATATCCATTAATCTCTGTTCATACTTTGAATGGATCTTTTACCCAAGTGTGATCTGGTAATATCATGCACCAACCACTTGGAAATTATTAAGATAATAATAAAAATAATAATAAAGAGTTCTTCAAATCTTCCAAATGTTGAACCATTACATATATTAAAAATTACATTCATTAATATCACCACCAATCCCATAAGAAAAGACTTTTAAGTGTTGGAGAGTCTCAATTCCCGGTGGTAAAAAGAACATTTTCAAATTCTCATTTACATCCAGAAGCTCAAATTTTATTATTGACAAAAAATACTGTCAGTTGTTTTCCTTAAAGTGACAGGCTCACTTCAGCCATTTTTGAAAAAATATCTGCCAAATACCAAGTCTAAGGACTATGATTTGCTACCAGCTGTTCTTTCCACTAAAAATGGTTTTTATGAAAAAAGATTACAAGTTCTTTCTCATGACACCCATCATATTTCAATATTCAGAAAATATTAAAGATGTACGTACATGGCTTGAAATTTAATACAGTTCATAATTTTACTGCTTCTCCAAGGACATTCTCAAGTGAAACTGGATTTTTAAAAAATGAGACAATGTGGCAGTGAAAAATATGCCGACAAATAGTACAGGAGACTTGACTCATGCTAAGACTCTAGCAGTTTTACCCATCGTTAATTTTGACCTCAGTACAAATAGCAACATAGTGGAAAAAAAAAAACAAAAATAATTTTGTTATATTATGAAAATAGTTTTAACTTCTCAGGACCTCTGAAAGGGTCTTGGGACATGCTGCTGCTACATGGATCCATGGTAACCACTTGGAGATCCACTGCTCTGGGGTGTTGAGAGCCAGGGCTGGGTATGGAATCCCCTTGGCTGAAGGTGTGAGGTACTGAGGACTCTGGACTCATGGAAGGTTGGTATTGGCCCTACAGAGTAAGTTGTTAATTAAAACCATAAACACACCTACACACTGAAAGAATCCAGCCATTTCAGTTACTTCCTTTGAAGAGTAGAAAAAAGCCAAAAGGCCCAAAATAACGTGTTTCCTCTGAATTGTTTCAGATTTTGTTAAAACTAGTTTGATAAGCACCCTCTTCAATGTTTCTACCCTGTTGGGTGCGATAGGGAAAAGATACAGAACAGGATTCTCCAATCTCTTTCAGTCAGTATCACTCTTGTGGCCCTGCTAGAATGCGTGTGGCTGAGAATGGCCATGAACTGTTTCTGTTCCTCTCTCTCTTGCTCTCACTCTTGCTCTCTCTCTTTTAAAGATTTATTTATTTTTACATTAAAGGTAGAGTTACAGAGAGGGAGAGGCAGAGAGAGAGAAATCTTCTGTCTGCTGGTTCACTCCTCAAGTGGCTGTGATGGCAGGAGCTGGGCCAGTCCAAAGCCAGGAGCCAGGAGCTTCTTTCGGGTCTCTCACATTGGTGCAGAGGCCCAAGCACTTGGGGGCATCTTCCAGTGCTTTTCCAGGCCAAAACAGAGAGCTGGATTGGAAATGGAGCAGCTGGTATTCGAACCAGCACATATAAGGCATGACAGTGCTGTAAATGCTACACCACAGGGCCTGCCCCCTGTTTTACTCTTACTAGAGCTACCCTGCAGCCCTAAAATGTGCTCATCTACTGCCATCCCTCCACTGTAAATGTAAATACTCTTATAATGTAATACTAACAAATTGGCTTAATATTCATTGAGCAGTTACACTCATTGACATTTATATCTACCTCCATGTCACAGATGGCAAAAATGAGTTAAGGTTAGACAACCAGTTGTTAACTAGACATCTATGTTGAAAAGTCGGACTGGAGTCTTGATGGTCCAATTCCTACACCTCTACTCTACATCCTATCCTTTTCCCTTGTTGTCATCACTATCTCAGTCTTTGACCTTTTTGTCTGGAAGCTACTAAAGAGACTAGAGAAGCCCAGGAGTGACCTGCTGTAGATATCTTTCAGTGCAGGAATGTCTCAGGACATGCTATTGCTAGAGAACATTCCTATCCCACCTTCTCTGCCCAGGACTTTATGTATCCCATTATAAATTCAACATCTCCATTTCTGTTTTAACTGAACTATAATGTTAATGTGGCCCAAGTAGAATTCTTGTTCCTCATCTATATCTTTTTTCCCAGGGTCTTATCACCTCTTTAAAAAAATTACTCAATTCACTCAATTGTTCAGAGCAAAATCCTAGAGTCAGGTTGATTTTTCCCTTCCTTGTGCACTTCCAGTTGTTCAGATCTATTATTTTAAATTATTTATTGAAAGGGCATAGAGACAGAGAGAAAGCTAGACAGAAAGAACGCTCCCATCCACTGCTTCACTCTCCAAATGCCAGCAATGGCCAAGCCTGGGCCAAGCCAAAGCCAGGAGACAGCAACTCAATCCAGTCCTCTCATGTGGGTGGCAGGGACTCAGGTACTTGAGCCCTCACTGCTGCCTCCTAGGATCTGCTTTAGCAGGAAACTTGAGTCAGGACCTGCAATCAGGCACTCCAATATGGAATGCGGGTGTCTTAACCAGCATCTTAACTGGCAGTGCCAAATACCAGTTCCAAGTACAGCTCCATTTTGAAAGTGTGTCTTGATGCACCAAGCCACCATCATCTCAGGGAGGACTTCTCAGTGACTCCATAACTCATCACCATTTTTGTGTCATAATTCAATGCATATCATTTTCTGCTTAAAACCCTGTGAGAGCCTATCTTTGGATGTCAAAAGTCCAAAGTCCTTACATGACCACTTCCTGCCTTTGTTTCGAACATCACATCATCATTCCTCCAATACTATGTTCCAGACACCCCAGCCTACTTCCTGTTCCTTGAACACTCCCAATCAGATTTCTGCTTTAACATTTTTGTGTGAGCTACCTCACACAAAATATATATCAGCCAGGGCTGGGCAAGGAGCCTAGAACTCCATACAACATTTCTCAGTCACTTTTGCTTCAAGGAGAAGGTCTTCTCAATAGGTAGATTTGCTCTGGGAACCAGGGACCCAGGCCCTCTTTTTCTTACTTGATCACAAAAAGCTATTCTGGATTCCATGTATGACCCACTTCTTTGCTCAGTTTTGTGTGAATCATCAAGTTTCATGCAGGGTTTGGTCCTGGGCTGGGCTGGAGCTTAAGTTCAGGGAGGAAGGTATTGTTTAGAACAGAACTGTGATTGACTTAATTGAAATCTAAGAAACAGCCTGGTTATTGTTTACAAGGTCAGTCTGTGGAACTAGCTTTCTTAGAGCTGTCAGGTTTCTATGTGGCCATAAAGTGAAGAGCGATCTGTGTGTAAGATCTGGGGCCTCATCTGCAGTGTGAAGCCCACCAAACGCTTCAGCAGCCAAACGACTGGGTTGTGTGGAGAGCTGCTGGGTCTCTTTGGGTTGATGTTCTCATGTCATGTACTGACATTTTCTCCAGGCTTGTTTAGGTCAGTCTCAGGCTGCCCTGCCCTGAACTGAGGCTGCTTTTGCAGAACAGTCAAGTTCTTAAGCTGCTTTGCCTGCTGATGTCAGCTCCTGAGCTTCTCAGTCAGTGCACTACTCAGAAGGCAGCATGAAGGGCATTCCTACAGCCCCTACTTAATTTCCAACAGCAAGTTTGATTGTATCAGGATTAAATGATCATCCCCAAATATAAGAAAATGAGTAATATATCTCACAATAAAAGCAGCCAAACAAGGAAGAATCTATCCTTGGACTTCTTGCTTTCCTGGGAAAGGGGCTATTTCCTATGATATATGCCAGGGTTGTAACATTCCCTGATGGCTGGCCATGAGCTCACCCACTGCCTTCACCTGGGAGGAGGCTGAGTGCTGGGGAGTGATGAGTAGTAGCAGATGAAGTGGGTGTGGGTATTAGTAGGGATGTTGGAGGTTACAGGAAGTCAGAGGAGTGAGAAAGATGGCTGGCTGGCTGGTATGAAGTGGGCACTTCATTTGTGTGACCCACTAGCCTTTCAAGCTTGATGTTTGATGTTTGGGGGAAAATACAAGCAGAAAATATTAAACAAAGTGATGTTACTGAGGGAGTTGGGCCATATGCTACAAATTTTTCTATAGCAAGATGCATTTGATAATTGGCTTGGTAGGATTATCTGTGACTTTATGCCCCCATAACCACAGGGATAATTATCTCTGAGAGAACAAGTTTGTCTTCTCTGAGGCATATGGAGCTCATTAAGAGGCAGGGAAAGCTTTTGTTCAAGTTCCAAGCCTTTGAAGTTTATGACTTTGATGAAAGCCTTAGCATTTAATGCAAGAAGATGTATTTGTGTGTGTGCACATGTATGTGCATGTGTGCACTTGTGTGTGTGGGCACTCAAATGTGTGCATCAAGCAGCCACACAAGAACATTGCCTACTTGTAACCTTGAGGTGTGTGGGGAAAGCACAAAGTTAAGGATGTGGGCGCAGCTCCAGGATAAATGATTCAAAGGATCCCAAGAGGATTAGCCAAGTGCAACCCCTATTTGACCAGATCCCACTCTTCTCACTTACTCTAGGGGTTTTAAATCATGCTCTTTGAAAACCTTGGATTTTTTTAAAAATGTGCAGAAGCAAGGGAAGGTGAGGGTAGGGGTCTA